AAAGTAAGGAAAAAAAGACTGGAGAAAAGAAAACCAAGTCTAAATCTGTTTGCATCTCTAAGTCGCCTGTTATTCAGATTAAACTGACCTCAGAAAGCTCTGAAGGCTTAAAAGGTGAAGAATTACATGCATTTTATTAAAATGAGATTAAGAGAGATAAAAAAATTAAAGCAGATATATCCTGTTTACTAGCTATTACCTAATTATTTTTACTGTTTGCTGGAGTAAACCATCTGTAATCTTTCACATAAATCATTGAGTTCTGCTTTATACTTGATGGCGGTATATAAGTTTTTTCAAGTTTCTCATAACTCACTTTTTTTTAATGCACCATTCTCACTTAAGTCCTGCAAGTCTTGCGAAATTCTATCTGGAATTGAGAAAGCATTGCATTCAGAAGTAATATTTGTGTAATTCACCTCAAGCTTATTCTTGACCTTATGCATTGTGACTTTTTTTTTTTAAAGTGCGGTAGTTTCGCAAAATCTTTATTGATAATATAAAATATAAAAAATTACATAAAACAGAAGTTATGAAAATCTCTATCTAAAATAATAAAAATACTACTCTAAATCAAAACTGACCCTGCACTTTCTCAGAATCAAATATAAAAAAGAAATTTTATATCATCACCTTCCAGTAAACCGACCAGAGAAAGGAAAGGGCTTGGTCTCTACTGCACCAAAAATTTGACTAATGCGATCCTAGACGGATCATTTTGGAGATTAAATCATTAGAAGAAAAGTTAGCATATGATGAGCGAAACTGGTAGCCAGACACCTCTGTGTGCGCCCGTTTAAGCATATCTGTTATATCATGTGATTTTCAAAGTCTTTGAAAGCTGAGCATCTATCCATCCAAATGGATTGCGTTTAAGTGAATATAAAATGCTTAAATTCCGAGATTGCCACCAAAGTGGATTCTTTTGATAAGAGATGCAAATATACGAAGTTATACAATTCAAAAAGAATAATTCTTTTGATCAAGTATACAAAAGTGAAAGTAATTGCTGATGGTAAAGACCAAATATCTAATGTCTCCAAAGACACTGTAATATCAAGTTGAAGGACGTCGATTAAGTAAAGTTTTGCCTCGTTGATTGAAGTCTTCATATTCTGTATTATAATAAAAACAGAGCCAAGATCTATCATAGAGTGTAGGGTGTCATTTATTAAGGACCACCATTGTAGGGAGCATTTCAAGAACACGTTGAAGTTTTTTCATTTTGACTGAAGACATCTCAAATGTAATAGACGAAGATGCAACATTATCTGAAATATAGAACATTGTTGCAATCCAGTTAATATTGAGGTTAATATATTTGTTATTGACATCAAGATTCAAGAAAGAAACTAGATGTGCAGAACGAGTGATGTCTTTAATGAGTAGTCTTATAGGAGTCGCAATTGCCAATTGGTAGAGATGCAGAGAAGGATGAGATTAATCTGAAGGTGTAAGATGTAAAGCATTTGAGTTAAGTGCAGCTTTTACCAAGGCGTCTACTTTATCATTGAAAGCGATTCCAGAGTGGACTTTCACTTTTCACATCGTTATCTTGAGAGAGAATGATTTGATGACTTTAAATAGGCAACACCAAATATGTAAGTTACTGATTTTGAGGAACGGTCTTTGTGAAGGAGAGATAGCCAAGAGCAGCTCATACTTTTTGAATTGCAAGATAACAGTGACGGAATCCGTAAATATTTTGATATGGCAGTCTTTAGGAGCTACCAATATGGCGGTAAAGATAGCTACCAGTTCAGCTAACAAAGAAGATGGAAAGGAATAAGTAAATGTGGTTGTATAAGAAAACAGGAAAGAAACAGGTGCAGTTTGGAGTCAAGCCAGTCCCATTCTCAGAGAAGGAGTACCTAAATTGACTAAAGAACCATCAGTAAAAAAACTCTAAATAGTTTGAAAAGGAAAATTGATCATGGAGTTCTAATAATTGTGATGTATGAGATTGAGGTATAAATGTTTCAATAAGTGATGGGATTGTATGAGATGTGAAGAGAATATTAACATTATTGGGTTGAGGTCTATTATAAAATATAAATTTGAAAAATGCAAGGTCATTTAGTAAAGCTAAAGACCAAGCACAATAGGGAACAGTTTCAGATTTATTTTGGTAAAAAGGGATTTGAAAACACAAATCTGAAGGACCTGAAAAGAAACAGCACGTCTTTTTTCGTTTTACAGAAAATCCTTTAGAGACGAAGGCCATGTAGTCATAATAGTGACATCTAGAGCATTCAGTAAGAAGAGTTTTGTGATTGCGTCCAGCCGTTGGTACAAAGTGCATCACGTGAACTTGGTCAATGTTGACTTTCAAAAGTTGTCCTATGAACTGTTTATTATCACCCATGTGCCAACCCAGTATAAAAACATTTTTGTTTTTATTTTTGACAGGTGGCGAAAATTCGTAATTCACTGATACAATATGTTGAAAATGAGCGAGAGGAGTTATCTTTAAGAAGCGCAGTTTGTAAGATGTCATACCATTTAGAGGATTTTGGTGAATGTGGAATGTCAGATCTGATACAGTGATCAAAAAATGTAAACATTTGATTGCCGTCAGAGTTTACTAATTGTTCCATAAAAAGTAAGGAATATCATCTCAGGTCATTGGTGATGACTCTATATTTGGTTGGGATAAATGATGATATTGGCATCTTTCCACCAATAATAAGATTGGTTTTTATGTCTTCCAGATTAAAATTAAGATTCAAAAACTTTCAGTCACAAAGTAAGCATGAGAGCTAGACTTTGAACTTGATATCATTGTCGTAAGGCCATTCAATGAGAGGTGATTTATAAAGACACTACTTATATTGCAATTGTAGAATTCGAATTTTGATCATATTACCTATAAGGCCAGTATCATTCATCATATAGAGGAGAGCTTCGCTGTGTGCTGTCAACAAATATTGATAAAAGTCTGTCAAGTTATAAAATAAATGTAAATAAAAAATCAAGGTGGGTGTATCACGTGATAGTTTGTTTTTTCTTCATAAAATTAAAAAAAGGTGAAGAGATTTGTTTGCACTGTTATTTGGTAAAGTAAGTCAATTGGGAATGATATTCAATTCGCAGAATAAGAACTGAATTGTAAATGTAAATGATTTGTTTATCCGTAAGTCTTTTAGGATACATAATAGTGACTGCTGACTTGATTTCACTAACAAGCGATTTGTTGATGAATGTTTTATTCGATTCTAAAGAAATCCAAACCCCAAGATATCTGATAGAGTCATTAGTAGGGAGTGGATGAATTGTTGTCATTCCATTAAGGGATGGCAGAGTGATAGACTAACACAGACTATCTTTATTTGTTAAGAGTACGGATTTATCCCAATTGACTTTGATGAAGTTTAACTCGTAAAAACTATCAGCAATTTTCATTATGTCTGTGAGGTCCTCTCGAGACTTCGCAATCCACAACGTGTCATCCATATAGGCAAGCGTAGAGATCTTAATAGAAGTTGTCGATAAAGTATTGGTAGAAATATCAGGTTTTCACTGATGAGTCATATTATACCCCAAAGAAGAATTATGTATTCTACATAATAGCGGGTTGTAATAGATACACCAAAGGAGTGAAGATATTATTTCCTCTTGATCAATACCCAATACAACTCTGTATGGGTCAGTATTTTCAAAGAAAGTAAAGATCTGATTGAACCGATTACCAAACATTTTCAGGATGAATCTAATAAAATTAAATGGGATGCGAAGTCGTTCGAGTACTCTTACGAGCATAAACAAGTTTACTCGATCGTAAGCTTTAGACATATCTTGCGATAGCACCCAGAGGTCCTTTTTGTTCGTGATAGAGTCGAATTTAATATTGTCTACTATACGAAGTTGTTCAAAAGTCAATTTATAAGGAAGTACAGCGAAGTTGAGCCCTTGAGTATATTGTGCTGAATGATAATTGTTGATAAACGCTGATTGAGTAACTTAATGAGAGCTTTCCGAGGGCACTCTAAAAGTGTGATAGGTCTGGTGTTATTGAGGCCATATTCCCATAGTTTTGGTTTTGGTATTGGGTAGACGAATGCCATATTCCACTGATGTGAAAGAGTCGACTCCGATAGACAATATCGAATAATATACAAAAGTAATTTATTCATGTGTGAACTAAGGTGTTTTAACATCTCATTCGATATTTTGGAAGGACCAGGAGCTTTACCATTTGGCAGTGTAGCGAGGACATCGTACCATTTCTCAGCCATGGGTAGGGTCATGAGGCCATCATATATAGAGCTGTTGATATTATCTATTGGTTTATAAAAGGAATTCCACTCGTCTGGGATATCTATATTCTTATGAGAAGTGCTAGCAGCCAACTGGAAATGCTGATTAACTCTGTTTTTGACAAGTGTTTCGTCTGTTAGAAGGTCATGTGATCCAGATATATCATTGAGACATCTATCTAACATGATTGTCTTTCATGAACGATTAAGTACTGACTTGATCATTTGAGAAGGAGCGACTGCATAGTTGTCCAACCTGCTTTCTATTGCTTATTATATTGATGCTAATTTGAATTCTTGCTCATGTAATTTGGTCTTAATTAGAAGACAAGTTAGTAAAATTTTAACATACGGAATCAACGATATCAGAAAACACATGTTCAGTGTTGGAGATAACGCTATTAAATGATATCTGAGAACGTTAGAGATCTCATGGAATCTGTTGTAAATTATAGACCAATCCTCAGGTAACTTATTAGACTTGCATGCCATCTTGATTTTCTTCTTAAACTTATATAAGAATCTAAGATTTTTATACAATTTAGTCAACAAAAGAGGTTTTTTTAGTTTGTGTTGTCCAGATGATTTATATAATAGAATAACGTTGTCAGCAGCTTTGATGATACAGGCTTGCAACAAGTCCCAGTAAAAATTAAGTTTGGTCTGGTTAAGTTTTGTGTTGAATTTTAAGAGTTGCAGTTCACAACTATTGGTAAGTACGTCTATTTGATCTTTGTATTCCTTTCAGAGTTCATCGGTCATCTTATCATAATCGTATATAGTCTTTTTCAAAATATTTCGTTTGTTATTCTTGACTTTAAGGTAATTATCTATGGAACAAATTACAATTGCATGATCAAAAATTTGCGGTAACACAGATACGGTATTACAAGTGTTAAAGTTATATGCATATTCTGAAGAAGTCCAACAAAATCGATGCGAGACGTCGAAATCGTTGATTTAAAAGTTGGATACTTGACCTAATCATTACTGTGTTTCAATGTGCATGCATCGAATAAATGCAAATTTTGAAGCAACGAAAAAAATTCTTTTGCTCCCTTTGGATTCTTGTCGTGATCTATATCAGCATTGAAATCCCTGGTTAAAATAATGTGAAAATCCTTAGAAATAACGTCATTGATTAATTTTACTAATTCTTTTTGAACCAATTTTCTTGTTGAGATGTTGGATGGGGGTAAGTAACAATTGATGAATCGTATTTTTTATTTGTTTGTAAACTGGAGGTCAACATAAATAATTTGATTGAAGAATTGTTTATGATAGAAAACATGATTGGCCAGTGATGGTCATAATAAGATGCCTACGCCAAAACCAGTTCTGTTAGGGGTTGATTCTGAACTGAAAAAACCTATAAAGTTAGATGAGTATTCGAGATTAAATGGTCGAATGTGTGGTTGAAGAAAATTAGTTTCTTGTAGACCAATAGCATCTACATTTAATAAAAGGTATTGTTCAATAAGAGAGTGTTGTTTAGCGGTATTAGTGAAGCTGCGAATATTATGTGGTGCTAAAGATAAAAAAGGAGAAGGAGTTTGAATTAAAAGGGTTGTGTTAGGAATTGATGCATCTTGTGCATGATTATCAGTAGGGACAGTGTTCATTAAAAAATTAATATTGAGGGAGGTTTTTGATATAACGTTCAATATCAGTATCGAATGTTACATCAAGTAGGAAGATATTATTGGCCTGTTCTTGGGGAAGCAAATTATTTTTCAAAAGTACATTTTGAAAGGCAGCGCACAATTGAACTAGAATATTAATCGTCGTGATGAAGAACTTGAGGCGGTTCTGATGCATGGCATTGATATTTCTGAAGCCTTCAATGGTTTTTTGTTGTTTAAGAATAGTGGATGCTGATGAGTCGATAGTAGGTTCAACTTCCTCTTCCATTTCACTAGCGTTAAGATTTTGTACATCGGCTTCTACTGGATTGATGACCTTGATTGTTCAATGGATTCAACTCTTTTAATTGTAAATGCTAAAGTGCTCATAAAGATGCTCAAATTTTCATTAAGATTATTAAATTGGGATCTGACGTAGTCTTTGAAATTGTCATCATTGTTAGCATGCATGGATCTGCCTGCTTTGGTACCCTTATAAACTGTGCCATTGGGTATAGGACAAATGGTATTATCGAAAAGGATTTCTTTATTCATATTCGGCGGAATATCGTCAGACCATGAACCAGATTGTGCATTTTTTTTGTTATCTAGTCATGAAAGTGGTTTGTTTCGGTTGTTATTGTTGTTATTAGGATTGTTGTTATTATTATTATTACTAGGTGGTGTTGATTGTTGGTGGCTATACGAAGTAGATGGTGGTTTAGTTACATGGGCGAAAGTGATGTCTGGGTTTACTGCCCCTCTTATCATTTTAGGTGGAGCCTTATAATTAGAGTACTGAGCTGGTTGAAATCTTTGATAAAGATTTTGCATATTTCAATCAGAAGGACTTTTTCTTCCTCGTGGATAATCATTCGCTTTGTGCTTAGAAAACGAACAAATAGCACAAAGTTTGGCCTTTGAATCGGTCTAGGTCATGTGTTTTCCATCTATGGTAAGTTTCTCGTTGGAAAGGGCAGCATCAATATCGTCTGCGAAGGCAAAGTAAAAAAATGTGTATTGTAAATTTTGGTAATTGGACTGGGCCTTGGGATAACCCAAGCAATAATGTCAATCATATTTCCAATTTCCTCAAGTTGTCTACCCATCGTGAACTTAGGAAGACTGGCAAGTTTTGCTGAAAATTTTGAATATGCCAAAATTTCTGCACAAGATTAGTCACACATGTGGATTCTGACTATGTCATTAAGTACAAAGAGACTATAGCAATCCTTAAGTCCCTTGAAATTTGCATCTTCTGTGAAAGTAATAGTGACCTGTTGCTACATATTCTTTGTTTTCATTGTGAAATGGACGATCATTCTGAATTTGGCAAATGTCATCTTGATCTTGTGTTCTGTAGAATCCAGGGGGATTTCCGTTACCTTGATCGACCTTGCAGGCAGTGATGTCCATTTCCTATGTCCCAAGCATTTGCTGTCCCAGCTATATGTCCCAACTATATGTCCCAACTATGTCCCATATAAGTCCCAAATGTCCCATCTGTCCCATCAATGTCCCATCAGTGTCCCATCAGTGTCCTAACTATGTCCCATGACAACACTGCTTGCAGGGATATATGGTTGTGTGCGTATTACATTTAGCGGTAAGAATGTGTAATTTTCCAAATTGGGTAACTAGACTAAACATGCATGATCTCGTTCATTTTGGTTGCAAAAGGAAATTTTAATTATGCGTTTTGATTGGTCATTTGGATGTTTAGCCAAGTTCGCTCCTGAGAACAAATCTATTTGTCGAAAAGCAGATCGACAACAGAAGAGACTTTTTGCTGTAGCGATGTTCCTGGAAATTTTTCGAGAGGAAAATATCTGTGGAAAGAAGGCTTTTGATGCTCAAAAGCTTGTACTGAAGATGTATTTTTGTTCAAGAAGTTCTCTGACATGTCAAAACTGGCGTCAACGTCGAGAGTGGTGGTGGTTTTTTCTGGAGTTTCTTCCAAAGTTTCTTTTTCTTTGCCTTTTTTCTAAGGTGAAGGTCGACATTTATGAACACTACTGGTTCTGGAGTCTCCGTAGTTTGTTAGGTTGGCGAAATATCCATGGTTTGCGTGATATTTTGTTTTTTGGCTTTTTGAGTTGTTAACGGTAAAGACGAACATCCTCGTTGTTTGTTTTTTTGCTCGCTGTTTTTTTTGGTCATTTTGGGATAAACAGAAGAGAATTTTTTTTTCTTTCTTATGCATAGTGACTGGGAAGATATAATCTTTTCCATTAAGGGGAATCTTCAGCTCATTGGTATTCCAATCTATTGTGCATTTATACTTCTTTAAAAGTGATTAGAAAATATTAGCATAGACTTGTGATATCTCATAACAACAAAATCTTCATAGATATTACAACCTGAGGCTAGAGTAATAGGCAAATTATGAACAACTCCAACAGATTCAATCGGAACTGTAGCAATACCACTGAGATCATGTGTTTCGGATTTATCAATTTTAGCTCCCACACGCTCAACAATATTTTTTGTTATAATAGGGGGCTCTGCTTCAGAATTAAGAGTCATAGCAGGAATCTTCAAATGCTTGATTTTATACTCTATAGTTGCAACACTTGTTTTTGGTTCCTTTTTCTAAACAAAATCGATCTCCATTAGATCATCTAAATATTCGTTCTCCTCTAGATCTGGCAATATATCTTTGGTAATTAGAATCGCATCAGTTTGCTCCTGAATAGAAGGCACTTGTTTTAACATATCAGCTTTAGAATCTTGGGTAATAAGTGCAGAAAAAATTAATTTAAACTCACTTTGAATAATCTTGCAGATTGTATCTTCCAAAGTGCTTTGCTTGCTTTGTTTAGCCTTACCAGAGTTAACTACGAGCTTCCTAATATCTGTCTTGTCAGTTTGCTTAACAGATTTATGTGACTTAGATTTTTTCTTGGACTGTTTCTTTGAGGATGATTTCTTGGGGCTAGACTTCTGCTTTAGTTTTTTTTTATCTTAGCCATATTAACATTAAGCTTACCTTCAGAATCAGAAGAATCGAAAGAACTTAAATCAGAATCAGAACTATTACTTGATGAGATATCAGAAGAAGAATCTGAATTCAAATCTGAGGTCAGATCTAAATTAGTGAGATTAACCTTACCTTTTTTAGACTTCTTCTTTTCTTTTTCTTCTTTTGAGAGCATTTATGAGAGTTATGTCCAGTCTTACCACAGATGAAACATTTATGTTGTGATTTTATGGCCTTTTTAATGGCTTTAGCCAAATATAAGTTTAATTGTTTTTTTGTGAGCTCAGCAAGTTCATTGTCAGAATCAACTTCAACCTTTTTCTTTGGCTTTAGTGGTAAAGTAGGATTAGGAATAGGAATAAATTCTGGGGTTTCTCCCATAATCCATGATAAAAATCTGCCAATATTTTCATCTCGTAAATTTTTATGCATTCTTATAGATTGTGGTTGAAATTGCGATGAAGTCACTTGTTGAGGTTGTTGAAGTTCTGAGGATGCTATTGTATTTTTTACCAAGCTCTCGATTTCATTTCTAGTCATTCCTGATCTGTTAGTATCTGTATATAAATTGGCTGCTGAAAAAATTGGAAAAGAAGACAATGCACTTTTTTGAGATAATGTATATTTTTTTGCTTCAGCTAGAGCTTGTATAATATTATCCTATATATTATAGAATTTGGCTATCATTCGAAGATTATATTGATTCATCAGAGACAGACTACGAATAAATTGCTCTCTTTGCTATTTAGGAGTCATTTTAGCTACTTTACCAATCTTTTTAATGTTTGCAGAGAATTGCTCAACTGTCATATCGTCTTGCATGAGTTGACCAAAAACTGCCATTTGTTTTAAGTATTCAACTGTTATATAAGCAGTTCTAAACAGGTATAAAAGTTGACCAAGCTTAATATTAGGAGCAATAATAACAACAGGAAAACCACCTCCAGCATTAGGCGCTACTTTTGCATTATCTATAGATTCACCACCAGCTATAGACCAATCTTCATCCTATATTCCATTCAGAATAATATCAGCACCTGTTGCAAATCCTGCTCCAATTCTACCAATTTTGGCGGCCACCTTACCTTGGAATTCTCCAGCAGTATTCAAACTACCAATTTGATTACCACCATTTCCGGTGACTATTTCTCGAACAGCAGTTAAAGTAAGTACTCCCAAGTTATCTGAGAGATTATTGCATATCCAATTTTTACCTCTGACGCGGGTTAAATACCAATTTAATGCATCATCTGCAAGGCATTGTTAGTGATAATCTTGCTATGATGCACGATACTGCGTCTAACTTAATTAACGAATAGTAATCATATCGATCACGATTCTCAACTTTCTACCATTTCTCTGATTTCTTAGATTTCACTAATTTCT